CAAAAATATCAAAATATTAAAATTGGGCATTTTTGAGAAAAAATCAATAATTAATATGGAAAGTAAAATGGAAATGAAAATATATCAAATTATATGGACTGTTGGGGTATAAGTTAGTTCTTATTCTCATGGTGTGTCATTTTTAATGTTAAATTAATAAATTGGGATGCAATAAAATTATTGATTTTGTGTTTGTACGCACAAAGAATAAAAACAAAGAACATTTCGGGATTTCGGTCTATTTTGTTGATGATGGTGTTAATATATTTTGTAAACCAAAAATGGTATTTTTTAATAAATAATATTAATATAATATCATGAATTCATGCTGCATTAATTTTTTTTTAAATGGTTGTATTATTTTTTGGTTAATTTTTTATTCACACACATTTTAGGCACCTAAAATATTAAATTGTTATTTGTTGTAATAATATGGCACATCAAGTTTGATGTTGTAATATAATTAAAGTTTAAAATGCTGGGATGAGTAGTTTTATCATATTCTAATACAAATATATATTAAGTGATATCAAATCCAAACAGTGCTTACCTAGTTGATGAGTATATTGATAACTTTCAAGAAATTCAGTCATGTTAGTGTGTTGTAATTCCTTTAGGCTATACAATTTTTTTTCGTTAGGTGCAACTGGTGCAAGTATACTTGCAACATATAGTGGTTTATTAATTATTATATACAAAAGTATATATATATATAAACACGTTTTCAGATTATAAATAATATTTTGCAGTATTAATGGTAACATCATTATACATTTCTAGAGTATCCATATAAATATATAATCAATTTTAATTGTATTAAAAACTATACACGTACCTACCAACCAATAAACAATCATGTCACTCCGATCTTACCAAACGATAAAACTTTGGATGCAGAACATGTATCATTAAGACATTAACCAACACAATTAATATTAGTTTTATATTTTGGTCTCAAATATGTATTATTGTTTGACCTAAATCTATTGAAAATAAATTAGGTACATCCTGATTTTGAAACAATTGTTAGTAAAATATAATTTACGTTTATCACAAACAAATTATTACATTAGTACGAGTTCTTACTTATAAAATGTATTCAAGATTATTAAGTTGAATAATTCAAAAAAAATTTATTATCATATCAATATTTTTTGTGATATTAAAGTTCGGGAGAACACCATTATCATTAAAGTAATCAATAATCATTGAAGTTGATTGTTTCATTATAATTAAAATTGGGTTATTGTAAACAATATTTAATTTGTTTTAATATTCCATTTAATAATAAATTGAGGTAGTTTTTATTTCAAGCAAACATTTGGCAATTTTATAAAAAAAAAAGAAATGATTATCTTTTCTAACGAAGGAAGGTGCCATGGTTGTACCAATTTAGTCATTACTTTTTATTCATAATTTGTTTTAAAATATGAAATTGGTGATCGTTTACATCTTATTAAAACCTCTGAAGTTTTTATTTTAATGTAATATGTTGGATGTCGTAATAATTTTCGATAAAATTTCAATGTAGGTTTAGATTTAATAGTTTACTTTTAATTAGCAATCAAACCTAAACAAAAAGGTTAATAACTATTCGTCACAGTACGCTAATTATTCGATTTCATTGACCAATAATTATCGTTTTTTATAATCTTTATATAATTATCATTAATCAAAACTATAATTTACAATAATTGTTATGTTCGTTTTGCATTTATTAGATTATCTCGACAATGTATTAAAAATAGAAACTATTTATTTTCTTGTTTTTCTAGTACTGGGAACACAGAGTACCCGCTCAATACCCTTATTTACTCTTCCCCTATAATAGTTATCAACTAAGTTGTATTTTTTTTTTTTTTTAATAAAATTAAGATTTTTCAGTTTAGTCGCTTATTGTCTTTAAGTTAGTCATTTTGATTATTGAATTGTTTGCTATGTTAGTACGGTGTAAATATAGTAGCAGTGATATGTTCATTATTTGTGGATTATCTAAGTACCTATATATTATGTAATTTTGAGGATTATATCATATGTATTATTTGTATACAATTTGCATCTCATAATGTGTGTAAATACTAAATATGCAGTTTCATATTAATGCACTTACAGGCATTTCCTGAAACTCTGATTATTGATGATTTATAATAATTATTATAAATCACAATTAAATAACTGAAAATTCTAATTTATTAAAAATTAAAAAAAAAACAGAAATTGCAGTGTTTGAAATGAATAAAATTAAAATTCGAACTATTCAATAGCACTATGTTCTTTAAGTATATTTAATCAGATTATTGTAATATAAACATATACTGATAAAAATAAAATAAAACATCATTTTCAAACAGAGAAGTCTTAGGCATAACAATAATCATTGTTAACTCTGACATTGATTGGTTCCTCAATTCCAACTATAATACAGAGTAAGACGGCTTAAATGTATCTTATAACTAATGTACTAATGTGTATTATATTTAATTGATGGTACCCTTAATTTTTTAATCGAACACACTTTTCAATACAATTCATAAATCATTTATGATTCCATGAAAATCAGCAAATGTAAAAGGTTGACATAATTTTGACCATGTCAAACATATAATTTGTCGAGAATTTCAACTGCAATAGTTCGATTAATTTATGACTAGGTAATACTGGCTACAGACTTAAGCACATATTATATCGCATATAATATACAACGATATATTGTATGTACAAAAAACTGTCTATATATGAGATAAAAACTAAAGATAAACTCTTTTGCACCGTAGAACAATCGAAATCGAAACCTGGCAAACAGTTCGTGGGCAATCGTGATTTTTGGTAGAAGTTTATCTACTTACCCATACACGAAATGTGCGCAATATAAAATAATATTAATATACTTCACGCATGTATGTGAATGACCTGTTTAAACATATTATACTTTATTGATATACATAATATATACGGCGATTCACAGGTAATTGAAGCATTTTAAACTTTAAAGTAATACATACAACCGTGTACGTAAGTAATTGCCATTAGCTAAAAAATAATTATGGGCACTGTTTTTGGTATATAAATGCGAGTAATGATATTTAAATGGTCATTCGTTGTTGACGTTTCATCTGCTACTTGCAATTAATCATGATTAATATCTATCGTAGCAGCGTGCTGATTAGAAAATGTGTTGCGGTGAAAACCTATTTCCGTTAGAATGAACAGGGCTCGTTCAAAAAATGAAAACTTCATTCCATAAAATTGTGATATAATTAAGCAGAATATAATGTCAATATGACAGTATGAATTTGCATAGTACACACGTCATATCGGTTTGGGAAAGTTGAAAACACGTTTTATTTTTTGATCAATATTATGTTTTTAATTACCTATAATTTATAACATATATTCAGACTGTAGGCACAACTGATTCACGGGTAATTGGAGCATTTTTAAGTAGGTAAAGTATACAATAAATTGTATAGTATGTATCTGTAGTTAATTAATTATGAATATAAAGTAATTTAACTAAACAATAAGTACCTACCCTATTTATATACAAAGTGCTTATAATATTTTTAAAAAGATCATTCGTTATTGATGTTCAACATCATACTATCATCACACCGATGATTTGTCTACTATATGAAATTAATTATGATTTTTTTTTTATCGTAGGTGAGTGCTGATTAAATCTATCTTTGCAGTACTCGTTTAAAAATGAATACTTCTTTTCCGAAAATTATAATGTACAATCTGAACAAAATATAAGGTCAAAATTATCAAATTTACAAAAAATGCTCATACTCGTCGCTTTGACATAGAAACACTTTTTGTTTTTATATCAACACGCTCTTAATTACCTGTATAATTTATAATGTATAATATTTAGACTACACTGTCTCATAGGCACTATAATTATAATATTGCTCTAAACTTTTAATGAATACACCCATATCCTACGGTCCTACCTAGGTCCAATACCTAGGAGTAGTATAATATAGGATATTAACAAACAACAAATCATAAAAAAACTGAGAGACTTTTCCGTCAATGGTGATTAGGTTGGACAACCAGGTACAATTAATGAATCGAAGTATTGTCTAAAATCATATTATGATATAATAAAATATCATTCTATAAAAAAAATATAATTAAATCAGGCCATTATTTGCTTTTTGCGATTTAGTTTATTTTAATAAAATAAAATTGACTTTATCACTAATTTGTTTCCATACATCAAATCTGTTCACGGTGTGCTGATGTAAAAACTAATTATTCATAAAATATCATTAATTGCATATTACTACTCATCGTTGTATTCATAGCTGATATACACAAATCGTGAATAAATACCATTAGTGTGCCAAACAAATTTTGTTTTTTAATTTATTAAAATATATCAATCAACCGTGGTTGATCATACATTGTTTAATATACGTAATTTTTAAAATTCATTAACTGAAATAATCGTGAAGCCTAAAGTGTAGACCGATATTTTTTAGGCATATAGGTACTATCCTCATGGAACGTCTACCTATGTTTGTATATTATATCTTGTGCTATCCGTGATCTACTGTGTGTCTAATTGATTAATCTCAATTCAATTTCCTTGCCGCTACATAGCAGCTGTTTATTATTATTCATTTTTTTTTCTCTTTATTTACCAAGAAATAGTGTATTGAAATGTCCAACATTTTTTGTCTTCTAATTTTGATTTTGTACGGGTTATGTCAATACCTACGTGATTATAAACATAATTACTGTCCACGGACTATTCAAGCGGCAGTGTATTTCTCTTTATTTTTTTTCTTTATACATTTCATTCTTCGTGGAATGTTATTTTTTAATGAGGACAATGTAAAGTAAATAATAGCCCAACACAATGTTACTTAACCGAGGCGGTCTGATAGGCAATCATTATTGCTTTAGCGTAAACGATCGCTTTTCGATGCCAACGCCTTCAATCGGTTTTAGCAGAACGAAAGTGCATCCATATTATAAATAATTATATTTTATTACTTATGAATAGTTTATAATAAATAACAAATGTGTTAAATTAAATATTATATAAAACATAGGTTTATGTATACATACGAAAGAACGGACAGTAACACGCGTCGATAAAAACCGTATAAATACTTTTAATATACAATTATGATTATTATTTGTTAAAACTATATAGATAGATATAAAAAAGGAAGAAAACAAATTGCTAGTGTGAATATTATAAGAATCGTGAAAGCCACAACGTCTAAAAACTGTGTAAATTCTCACATTATACTCAAAGCAGCGTTATGAAACGACCTAGTCGCGAGGTGATGGTAGTTGTTAAAATTGTATTTCATTTATACCAAGTGGCTGCCTAAAGGTAAGCCTTTGATAAACGATTTTGTCGTATCCGTGATAATATTATTACAGATAACTCATCGTCAATCGGGTTAGAGGGAGATATTTCATTACAATAGTGTTGGGACTCGGTGTTGAATATTCAAAAGCTATCGTCATGGCGTCATATAATAACGATATTGTAAGAGGCGAATATTTGTGTTTTTACAAAGCACTTGCATATTTGCAATTACAAATTAGATTTTTTCATGTCTTTTTAGTCTAATTGTTTTTTAATGGCAATTCATATTTTTAATTTTATATATAGAATTATTATTTGGAAATGTTGGCGAAGTTAAATAAATAGAATATGGAATCAATAAATATTTCAATTATTATTCATGTTTGATGTTTTTTCTATCTGAAAATTATCGTAAAGTATCCACTAACACCACTCATCTAAATTCTAAATTAAACTTTTAAAGATTATAATTAATAATATCCAAATTTAGATATTCGCAGATGCAAATTTTTCACAAAAATAATATTCTAGTTAGAATTGTCATAAACATGAACTAAAAATAAGAGTTGCCATTAGAAAACGTTTTCAAACAAAGTCTAAAAAGGACATTCATAAAAAATTCTAAAACTTTGTACTTTTCTAATGTTGCATCTCATAAATACCTAGGTACTATTCAAATGGTACAAAATACAATGTGCGTAATAATGAAATTAACTGAGAAAGTGAGTACAAACGATACGATAAAAAAAAAATCACCTCTAGGTGCGATAAGGACAACGAAAATGCCCATTTATAATTTAACATTAAAAATAATAAAATATAACATACTAGACTGAGAGAATAAACTGAAAAGTAATATGAGTACCTGCAACAAAAACGTTCCACGACATTATAATATTTTGGGGGTGGGGGATGCATGTCTGGCGACTTACAGATTTCGAGGATGGCAAATCATGTACCTGAAGCTATACAGCTAAACGATGACGGTTGTAGGGGATGACGTGAAGGTGACGATGGTGGTTGATTTGAGAAGGCCGAAGGGGTAAAGCGGTGACTAGTTTGACGGACACGCGCGTTTGGATGACGTCCGCCCGCCCACTTCCGGATAACCACGGACGTGCCAGATGTATACATATAAGTTTCATATCCTGTGGCCGGAAGTTTGGGGCGGGGGGGTGATTGTGATCGTGGTGTCGACGAGACAGCGTTTAGGCAGCCCCGTGATAGCCGTGAGGTTCATAAGAAGGGTACATCTGTTGGAGGGGCTGTTGCGAAGACGGCGACATGACAGCTGTCGCTGAAGCTCCGGCCGACTGTCCAGCGTAGGCGAGCAGATGCGCGTTTCGGTCGTCCTTGTCCGACGACCAGTCAGCCTGGACCACGGATCCACTACCGTATCCTCCGCCGCCGCCGCCTCCGCCCTTAAACTTCTTGAGCAACATGAGTTTGGATATGGTCAGCGAGACGACGGCCAACAGCAGTGCCTTGAGCGCCTTGGCGCCGATCATGACCATGGCCAGCGGTCCCATCAGCGACAGTTTGGCGCACATGATCACGCCCAGCATCGACATCATTTTCTTGAGATGTTTCAATTTGGTCTTCTTGCCGCGGCCTAGATTGCGACGGAACAAAAAAAAAAAACAAAAACACAAATATATACTAAACGGAAAACGCAAGCTGGCTGAGAATAAATGCCTAAGTAAATATTGTTAACGGAAGGGAAAAAAATCGGTATTATAATGATACGGCGGCGCGCGCATTCCCGCATTGTTGTCGCCGCCGCCGTCGTTAAGATAATAATAATATTATTTTACTATTATAATAATAACGCGTTGTATACATTATAATAATATAATATTATTATTATTTATTATGTTGCAGTAATTGCGCGTGCGATGCCCCGCTCGGTCGCGGCCAATTGGACTGTTAGAGTAATTACGCGCGCGCACATAATATATAGAGGTATACAACAGGTATGCGCCGCCGTTTCGAGAAGTCGGAAGTCGGATGGTAAGTATAACGTGGAGATAGTGACTTCAGTATAGCTATGGTGTGTATATATACACCGTGTATTATAATATACCACCGACGTTATTATAATGACGCTATCGCCCAATGACTCGTGACGACCGCCGTCGTTTGATTAACCCGTTGACCTCAAACATTTTTCCGATATTCGCCCGGAGAGAGAGAGAGAGAGAGAGAGAGAGAGAGAGAGAGACGGACGCGTTGAGGAAATATCTTCCTCTCGCAGCTTTTCGCCTGCGTGCACTACTACAATATGTCATTATCGTAATACATATTAAATACTATATTAAATGCGACCATAGCTAGGGGCCCCTATTGTGTTACACACACCTATTGCACGTCGACTTCCGTTCAGAAGTATTTGCTCGGAAAAGCGAACCGGAGCGGCTTTCGCCGAAAACGAAAATATTCTACTATTTGGCCACTGACTATAATATAATCGCACGATATAATATGGGTACCTATGCTAACCCGCTGACCTCAAACATTTTTCCGATATTCCCGAAGAGAGAGTGAGAGACTTCCGCGTATAGAGAAAATATATTCATCTCGCTGCTATTCGCTTGCGTGCACTATTACAATAATATATCATTATCGAAATATTATTGTAAATTAAAGGCGACTTGGGCCTTATTGTGTTACACACACTTATTGCACGTCGACTTTCGTCCAGAAGTATTTGTTCGGAAAAGCGAACTGACACTTTCTAGTTAATGCCGAGGGTTTTGTCGCATGTAGGTCCATCACACTACGATGTAGGTAGTATGTGTGACGACTGCCGTCATTTCATTAACCCATTGACCTCAAGTATTTTTCCGATATTGACGGGTCCGGGGAAGGGGTGAGGAAATATCTTCCTTTCGCAACTATTAGCCAGCGTGCACTATTATGGTGTATAGTTATCATAGAATTTTTATTTCTTTTATTGTTTATATAATAGAACAATCCGTTGCCTAAATTACAGAATCGAGAATAATATTATATAGGTACTTGTACATAATATTAATAGGAACAAGCAGATGAGTAATAATCGGCAAAAAGCATTGTCCTAAACACATCGGTCTATTATACCAGAATGATATGTTGGTGGTGCAATGGGGTATGAAAAAAGGATAAAGGGCCTAACCTAGGCTAACCTAACCTAACCTAACCTAACCTAACCTTGGAAGCTAGGGATCTCGAAATTTAGTTCAGGACAGTCAATATAGAACCATCAATGAGTTTTTTAGGAACACTTGGGTTAACAGAAACACAACACATTATGTACAATGTATATATGTATATATATAGATATATAAAATGGGACATGGGCCTCATTGTATGACACATTGCACCTATAATTGCAGTTTGACTTCCGTTCAGCGTTTACTCGGAATAGCGAACCGGCGCTTTCGCCGCGAAAAACGAAAATACACGACAACACTGAATTCGTATAGTCTATCACTCGATATAGTATGGGTAGGTATAGGTAACACACACCGATGCGGTAGGCGGTCGATTTTCCGAACATAGTAAAACAATAATTGCGCTGAAAATCGGCGCAGCTGACGTGAAACGAAAACGACAATAACAACAATAATAACAATTATAATATTATTAGAAAAGATCAACGCCGCCGCTCGGATTTGTATTATTATTGTGTTGGTCTACACAGATCGGCTTCATCCGTCCTAATGAATTATACACGGTATACCCATAGAAAAGATTTACCTACCTACTATAATAATAATAATAATAATATTAGAATATTACAATTATTATTATATTGTCATCGTCTACAGAGACTATTGTAGACTATTCGGCGGCGTGTTTACACGACTCGCAAATTCGGCAGTTCGTCTGCGCGGCGGCGATGGATACGAATCAAAAACCGTAATGTCGCTGCGTTCTTTTCAGCTGAAATCTTACTACTGCCCACTTTAGTACACTCGGTGTGTCTGTCGTTAGCCGTACCAGACTTTGGGACGAATATAATAGTAGGTATAAACGTTTTCGTTTCAGAGGAAAGGAGAAAAAAAGAAACCGTTTTCGATCGACCGTGTTAGAATACAGTGCCGTTTACGAATAAGACGTATCCAGACATTCGAAACCGAGATCGCGACGAAAAAATAACCGACGGAAAATCGGATGCGAATTACACATATTATTACGCTCCAATATAATAATTAATAACACAGGCGTGGGACAAACGATTATATTGTGTTTACCTGAACATAAATAGCTATGTCTAAAAAATAGGTTATGTTTCGTTAAGAAGACGCTACCCATGCACTTGAAGTCTCTGTCATACACACGTACGACATGGCAAATTTTCATTTACTAGTTTCAATAGTGTGCCCTTATAGTTTCGATATTAGAGTTAACATTATTAAACTTTTGGGTAAGAACATAATCTGTGCTTAAGCGTCGGCTTTTATTCGATATTTGAATTTTCAAGAGAGATATTAGCATTTTTAATGTATGATGTTTCACATGTACCTACCAATATATTTTGCTTGAAAATTAAAATATCGGAAAAAAACCGTCGACGCTTAAGCACAGATTATGTTTAGATAATGTTCGACAGCAAATGCATGGCGGTCTATTAAATGATATTGCAATGCGCCATTAAATAAAAGTTGAATCGAACTAATTATTTGCATTACCTAGTACACTTAGCAACTACTTCATTATTCAGCTTTTTATCAGCGCTTTGTTGGACAGTGGTTTTTTTTTATATTATCAACATTTATACATTAATTATCATTGAACAAAGTAAGTATAAAACACTATAACGGGATCTATGTACAAAATATATAGGTAGTAAAAACCAATAAATTCAATTCGCAATTCCATCTTTAACACCGACAAGGCGACCATTTAATGCTTTAATGTTTTAAGAAATGGTACTTTATTATAATAATAAATATGGGAAGGTAACTGCCATGTACCTATGTCTTGCAATATTATTATATCAGCTTATTACTTTTTAAACCTCGTGAATAAATTTGAATATCATCAAACCGATCGTTAATCGAATTCAATATGATATTATTATGTTCAAAATGTTTTATTTTTAGATTCATTCTATAATAACATAAATAAATATGCAATATCCTCACATAATTTACAAAGCAAATTTTCAAAACTTGTTAGTCAATATACATAATGGAATAAGCGTACCCGTATACCTTTTTTAAAATATTAATTGGCTTTATTTTTAAAAAACTTTATACCTATAATGTATACCAAATCTATATTAGACTATAACTTCGCCGATCAATATGCAATTTTACTAAAATAGTTCCTACTACAAAATATAAATATTTGGCAAAAAAATGGTTTGTGCTTATATGTCGAAATAATTATTATATTGATTCTGCGGTAACTGCGGAGTATTTGAAGGTGATCGATGTTTCTGTCCAACCTAACGTTAACGCGAGTGAAATTAGTTTTAACTGTTTAAACAACCGCAACTCACGGGCCACCGCCCTATTACTACTACCCACGCAAAACACGTAAATTGATTCATAAGTTGTTTTCCAAGGTTTGACTTTCAAACTTGATGTACGTTTCTAAGCAAATTCCAAAACTTAACCCTCTATTTCTTCTCAGAATCCTAAAAGCTGTATCCTTCCTTGGAGTGTATGTACGTATTAAAAACAATTTTCATTATGTCAATGTTAAGAGCAATAATTGTTGTTGGGCTTATAGTTTTAGATACCAAATTCCGAATGGTTGGAAACAATTATTGATGGGTTGTTTAGAAGTTTACAGCTCAGAAGTCAGAAATAATAAACATGGCTTGAGTAACGATATCAGTGAACAGGAAATATTTGTATAGGTACTTCAAGTCTGTCCAAGAGTAAGAGCAGAATTGAGTAAATATTTATATAATTACGTAATATAACTAATAATATTATTATGTCTAAAACAATAATACAAATTATATAATAATAGTATTTATTATGTTACGTTCATCTTTCGCAGTAAAAAATGACGAGATCTATCTCGTAATGAATATTACGAGGATGTGTACACATTGTGAATACCCACGCAAAATATTGACATATTTAATACTACTACTCTTAAATACTAATCGTCTGTAATGGAGATTAAATGTAGTCTGAACGTCCACAACGTCACAGGAGTTCATATTTGAGATTTATGATGTTACATAACCCGCGACGTTTTGTAATCGTGTACATTGTACAGAATCACGGAGACATCTTACGTTTCGTAATATAATAATAAAATAATGTAGTAGAATATTTTCCGTGTCTAATACAGACCGATCTTATTAAAATGACAGATTATTCACATTAGCTTCGGTGTTTAATTCAGTATTTCCATTAATTTCTATCCAAGAAACGCCTAATCATCTGTCACACGATAAGATTAATATTTACTGTAAAAATAACGGATCGTAAAGACAAAAAATTCCACACGTAGTTATTGGAAAAAAAAATACTTTAATTAATTTGTTAATACAATCACACGAGGCAATATTGGATAAACAAAACCAAAAACATTCGTGTGTTTAATTTATTATTCGATGGTCTTTATTAACCCCTCTGTTCCGGTGACTTCACAATACTATTTTTTAAATTTTTTTTTTAGTTCAGTGACCCATATTGAAATTAAGATGAAAAATTATCTACGCAAGGTAGGTGGTAGAATATATTTTATAAGATTATAATATACCAACCATAATACTATTTGTTGAAGACTAATATACAATACTCATCGGTCATTATTCATTCATCAATAATACTTGTATTTATCGTTAATGGTATCTAAGTAATGTGGACAACGGACATTAAAAAGTATTAATAAATTATTAATACTACTATTATGTTTATTTTTAAAATAACATTGACCATATAAAATACAATACTTCATCGAAATACATCATTTAAATAAAATTTTAAATCTTCAGCTGAATACATAATATAACAGTATGAAATACATTAAAACCTAATAATAATAGTTTTTATATTTTAGGAAGATACTTGACCTATCGTATAACAAACAGTGAAACACCATAATTTGTTCATTTTAAATAAACTCCTTACAAAGCATTTTTAATCTCATAAATTATCTAATCAAATTACATTTAGTTCATTACTTTGCAAGACGTTTTGTAATTTCATTTTTGAAATTCTTAACCAAAAATAAGTATAAACTTGTCGGTACCGAACTAAGATATCCAAATCGAATATAGTAGAACTTAGAACTTAGACAATTATTTCATCCACTCGACAGAAGATGGTTTTGACGAATCTACATTCAGAATTAGAAACTGAGAGTACCTATAGATTTTATGGGTAAGAAAATCATTAAAATGAATATCAATTCGGATTAACAAAAAATCATACAACTATTTTTCATTGCTAGTTTGCATTTATAGTGTATTATTCTCGAAATGAATAAGACAATTCGTTAAATATACTTTTAATATAGGACAGTATTTTTTCTTAAATTTCCAACGTTTACTCTAAGGCTTAGAGAAAACATTTTTTTTAAATGGACGTATGGTCACCCTACTCTAAGATGTTTTCTTCTTTTTTATATACCTAGTCAGTTTTATGATTTCAACTGCCACAAAAAAATATTGCACATAAATACATAATAACCATATTCAAAGTTATTTGGTTTCCATTAGACTAAAAATTAATATACCAATTATTATCGTCACTAAAAGATTATTATTATTATTATTACTTACGAAATTCGATAAAATCTGGAACAAGAGTAGACAATTACAGTAGTAAAGTCAATCGATCATTTTTTTTTTCTTATAACGGTTTGAGAATTAGTATGATTGTATGAATACTGAGACACATAATTAATTTACATAGTAAAAACAAAAAATGTTTATAAACAATAATTATTGTAATTACAATTAAAATTCCTTTAAGAACTAATTTTTTTCTTCTTATATATAGTCGAGTAAAAGTTAAGATTTGTGTATTTTAAAATAGGAGAAAATTGTATATAATAAAGTGTATATTAGTATTATTGTATTTAATTCGTATAATCGTATGTATGAAATATTTTCCACCAATTGTTATTAATTGTAGTTTATCAATTATAGCTTATCGCAACTTAAACTGATTTATAATTTTTGTTTTTAACAAAGAGCAATAATAGACTTAATCACAAACAGTCAATTAAAGTTACATATTTTAATATTTATAAGTATTTATAACTTCATTAGTAAATGTTTTACTGCTATATGCAGTATTATAATGTTAAAATTAAACTATTTAAATATTCCATTAAATGCATGTAAATTCCATCCAGGTCAAAAACCTTATAGTTTTGTTTTAAAAAGATTGAATAATTTTTGCACGAAAACAAAAAGAATAATAAAAAAAATAACAGAGAGACATTAAAATAGGTACAATACTGAAGTGATTTAAACAAAAACAATAAATTTGACTAGGCATTAAAGATGGTGACGTCTATTTTATCTGTGTCGACAGTAATAATTTTGTACAAAATAAGACAATTATTATCGTCATGATTACAATATCTTATGTATTATATTTTGATAAGGCTAAATCGTTTTCCTTATGGTTGTATATGATACGCAATATCCATAGACTTACAAACTGAGTTTGCTTTATAAAACATCATTATACGGTAAATACCTACGATGTGACATAATAGTGTATTATGGCCTATAGGCATAATATGTAATATGTATAATACAGGAAAACATAATAATAAGCACATAATATAATATTATCGTGATCAGAATACAATCGTAATCAATACCATTAGAACATCGAAGTAAAAGACAAATAAAGCCAAGTCAATTCAATATTTAATTGAAATGTCGTCCCTTCTCGATTTAAATCTCGGCAACATTTCCATTGTTCCATACACAATTATTTTGTCCTTTTAATAACCGGAAGAGTCCTATACAATATTAACATTTATTTTCCATACATAAGGCGAACATAACTGCGGCAGTATATTTTTTACAATAAGGATCCCGTCTTTTTACGTTTACTCTCTAACATAATATATAAAGGCACAATATTGCAACAGATAACGACGGAGACAATGGATATCCACAACCAACAAAGCTGCTGCAGAAATAGTCGCTCGATATTGAAATATGTTGATGATATTCACCCAAAAAAAATCCGACCGCGGTTCACGTTTGATTCGCAGGTCATCACTCATCAGCTAGCGCATCGTGTACATGGAGACAAAATCAATAAAAACTACAACAACGCCGACGACGACTTCAACAACGAAAAGACGTAACCTGCAGCGGCCAGGTATAAGTGGTTGGTGTATCACCCCTCGGAGCTTATCTGCACTATAAAATACTACTATTATTTATAAAGTACTTATCTACGTATTCTGCGATATGTTAACCTACATAAACGCTTCGGATTTACTGTCACGTCGAACCCAACCTCTAGAAGTCCAGAACAGTGGAACACATCACATATTTTAAGTACCTAGGTCTTAACCGCGAGGCACAGAGTATGAATTTGTTCCCTAAATTCGTGTCGAACCCCATCCGTGGCAACACGTAATATAAGGTAATAGTTTATATATGATCAAATCGAAAGCTAACCTACTATATCCATGAATCATCTCGTGCGTCTCGGTCGATCTGATGTGACTTAATAATGGATTAATTTGTTCTCAACCTACGATCGCGCTGATCCACTTCTATTATATAGGGGTATGACGTTGTACGATGCGCATCGCGACGGGGTCGGGGAAATCGCGCCTGCTGTTACAATATAGTTCGGACGGCTTTACCTCATGATGTACATAATATTATAGTCACCTTGCTGGTCGAGTTCCAGATCGATGTCGTCGTCGAGTATCCAAGGCAGCGATATCCGGATGGTGTGCGTGTCGAAGTACTCGTCGATGGCCGGTCCCAGTGACGTACTAACCCTTTGCACGTGCGGCTTGCTGTTGTGCGGCTGCAGCTTGGACCTGTCCTCGGCTAGGCCCGCCTCCTTCTTCTTGACGATCGTCACGATGTCACCGACCACGTTCAGCTTGTCCCGCTTTTCCAGCCAATTGACGTACACCAGCAACTTGTCGTCCAGGCAGACGATGGCCAGGTCCAGCACGCAGTCGTCGGCCGATGTGGCGGCGACGGACGCGCCCCGGAGCGCCAACAGAGACGCGGACGACAGCAGCAGCAACGCCATGGCGGGCGACATATGTGTGACGGCGGCGGCGTGACCGCGACGCGGGTGATGTTCGAGCCTGGTATACCTCGGTCTGGTAAACGGTCGGGTAAGCGGCCGGCTCTAGGTATAAACCTGGTTTGCAATGTGCTCTACAGTTCACGGTATATGGCCGGTATTATAATGTACTCGCGGATAGCGGCCGGTGGTCGACGAAACGAGACTATGCGGCGACAGCGACGGCGACGGCGGCGATGGCGGCGACGACAGTGACGTGAAAATCGATCTTGGCCCGCTGCTCTCGCACCGATGCGGCTGCTGCCCCTCGTCATCCCCCGCTCAAGACAGCCGTCGTCGTGATTATTATCGTTGCTATTATTATCATTATTATTTTTATTTTTAGTAGTTGCAGTAGGTACCTACAGTCTATACATATATAATAGTCGAGGCGTCGTCGGGAAATTCGCAGTTTCACGCGGTCATTTTTCCCTCCACGGAGGAGAGGGGTCGGTATGGGTAGCAGCGGGAGGGTGGAGGGGGGAGGCTTGGCGGTGGAGAGACGGAGAGGAGAAAAAAAACCGAGAGAAGAAAAAATAAACACGGTGACTATAACGAATTCGACAATGAACTATATGGGACTAAACACAATATATACAGATGCGGCCCGGTGGGAGGAAGAAGCTATATGGTATAATATAGGTTTAGTTAGCCGTGGCTGGTGGCGGGCGACCAGAGAGAAAAACGAAAGAAATATAGGAGAGTAAAAAAGAAAAAAAAAACAATGTAGAAATATAATATATAAGTTAAATGGTCATTTGCTTAACTAGTTCACACCGAATCCCAGCAGCGGTTTTTCTGCACACGATTTTCGCGATAATTACAAGTCAAAATACGTAGCGACCCGCTGCACCGTCGTCGGTGGACCTATATATATATATAAATATTATGATGTAGACAAACGTGCCCAGTCAGTCGGCTGCCGCACATCGTTGTATCGTTTGTGTGCGCATTTTTTTCCCCGACATTTTTTCTCCACTGACGTTTGGGTTTTTTTTTTGTTTTCGTCCCCGTCATCATCATCATCATATTATTATTATTATTATTATTATTATTATTATTATTATTATTATGTTTACCGTCTATTGTATTTACTACACTCGACCGACAGCGAGAAAAATCTCATGCAGGAAAGTCGAAAGTGAGACTGTACATATAATATATATGTGTATATTATACACACACGTTACACATTTTATTATTATAATAATATTTATCATGATACCAGCTCGCTTCTTTGGGCATAATTATATTGCGATATTATTGTTATAATAATATGCATTTATGATGATGATGCGCGATGCACGGATGTTTGGCGTGATATTGCGTGACAACCGTTTCGAAATCGTTCATCTCGACGCTAGTAGGAGGTACCTGTATCGGCCGTATGACCACAAAACAATATTTTTATAATACACCATACAGCCCTCTTGTTTGTTCGTATATTTTACGTCTTTATCCGACGCGATTTTTTTTTTTTTAAATGAGAGAACATCGAAGGCTTAAAACTATGTTTCACGTTTCGTTTCACGCCGCGATGCTCAAATGTTAATATTTTTAATTTTGTGCATTATCTGCCTGTTTGTACCGTGGTATTATGTACTGTGCGTATACTGCAGGGCGGTGATTCATCAAACATGCTCATAACTCGACCCCTACCCCTTTTTGTACTGACGCTTATTACAGTTCTGATATTTGGAACTTGTAAGTTACCCGTAATTAAAATACCACTATATAGATAGGTACCTACTTATAGATTTGTTTTATACCATTTGAGCCATTTAAGGAGCATCCTGTGGTTATATCTTTTAACCAAAAGATAAGATCTACTGTGTATAATACTGCAATAATTGATTTTACTACAGATAATTGTTTTGAGTTATCAAACTTTGTGAATTTAGGATAGTAATATTTGAAATAGGTTTTAAATTAAGTATAAAATGTATGATAATATAGTAAATTGCCTAGACATCAAGTAATTGTTAGCTATTATACACCAAAGTCAATATTTTTATAAATTATACGATTTTAATTAAATACTATAATTTTCATATTCTCATCATAAGCCCCGTATCTTTAAACCTATTATTATGGATATCGCGTATAAAGTTTTATAATCCAAATTATGATTAATATTTAATTAACATAACTTAACAATTTACAGTAAAAAAGCGTGGTTCAAATTTTTTGGGTGGTTAATTTCAATCTAAATATTTGAAAATATTTGTCTTTAAATTATACTTTAAAAAATTGCTTAAATAAGCTTTTGAAAAATTCATTGTTAAAGGATAAAATTGAGATGAGCTACGTGGTCAGTGAATCACTCTGAATAAATAATATATTATTGTCTTCGTCGTCGACGTGTAATTGAATCCAATTTCTTCGGAAAACAATATAAAATATTATGTTTATTATGAACATATTTATTTATTACATACTATTTTATATACATACTTATTTTCATATTAAATTATTTTTTTCAGCACTGTGTAGCACACTTTTGGTAGTTAATATAGGACAGCGAAGGTTTTTCGCATATAATTATATAATTTGTTTTTGCCAATACGATTCCAATGTAATACACTAATAGCAAAATTACGCTTTATTAAAATATAATATTTTTTAAGCGATGTGTGTAAAATATTATAATATAGTATTCAGCATTCGTCCAACCTGTCAATAATAATTCGTACGACATTGACCTCGGGTGATCGATGGCCGTTTCGATTTATATAGATGATGCGTACAACATTCGTTGGTCGATATAAATGTATAATATATCATAATATTATCATTATCTTATTTTAATTTATCGATATAATATTATGTGGTCCTTCGACATTGGTTTAAATCAGTGGCCTACTCAATGGAGTTGCTAATAAATATATGCATTTCTATCTATATTCATTAACAACATGAAAAAAAATCAACACAAACTAACCTTATCATTCTGTGAAATAAACTTTTATATTTCATTTTTCGCTAAAAAAAATGTGCTGGTTTCTTAAAAATATAAATTATTATTTTTATTTCCGACCAATCAGAATATTTATGCCAATGCAGTCAAAATAAAAATAAAAACGTTTTTCTCTTATAAGACATTTTATTGGTAAGGTATTGGTAACCTATATATGTCTCACGACGATCAAATCTGTATCAGTAATACTTATACCCGTAGTTACATAGAGTTGTATGGTATTTTAGCGTATTCTTAAAACGGAATAATAATTTTTTTGTCTTGTACATACAGAATTTGGTATACATGGTCAACCGTGGTTGGTATCCGGCGATCGTTGTATCTATCACAAAAACATAATAATATACAATATTTTAGAGCTAATAGCGTCAACTTACACGAACGATTTATCTTAGTCCATAGCTAGACGTAGAATAAATAATTATTGTAAGACGTATATTCTGATAGCACCCTAGACGAATAATATGTCCAGAGCAGGCGGCAGGCTCTAATGGAATTGTTACATGCTCGACGGCGAGATTTATTGCTTATTATACATTATTATATTGTGTTAACAGAACTATCGTTTTCACGTTCTATTCAGGTATTAGGATAATTGTGCCCAAGTCGTTTTGTGGAAAGAATCGCTCAACAACGACACATTCAGATGAAAATCCGTTGTACTGTGGCACGAGAACGACCATACTATATAGATATGTATACGACATATCATTGCAGATAGAAGCTGTATTATTTATGCAAATCTATAATGATATTCACTGTCGTTAACCATTATAAGCACTCTTAATATTTTTAACGGTGCATTTCGTCATGAGCGTGATTTTTTTACACAAATTGAAACGTTACCTGGGTAGGTACTAAAATACTAATATTCCGTCAGTACAACGTCTTCGCTGTGCACTTATCATTTGTCTGCGGATCGACCCGTTCCAACAAATGTCTTATCGAGCATATTAATAATAATTATTAGTTTGCTTTTTCATTAAATCGTATGTTCTATAACTTAACTGCAACAATCAACGGAAATTTAAGTTAAACAATTTAGATATTGAAGAGGTCATACAAATTCCGAAGAAAATAATTTTAAACTAGATATACTCGGGTATCGATATCCAGTCGAAAACAAGATTGAATCCCAATCAGCTGACTTAACCAAGAAGAGAAATTTAGTAAAAAAAATTTATATATCTTGAATATAATATAAAGATTTCATCTTATTTATAATTCATAGTAACAATATGTATAGTTGTACACATAACTCTACCTATGTATACATAGTACATGTGCTATAGTTATTTCAAGTATTGAAGTATATAATATTATATAGTCGTATTGTATCTGAATTCGTGACTATGAGTTGTATTGTTAATTCGAGGCATGTCAACAATAACTGACCATGACAATAAGAACAAACAAATATTTTTAAAAGGTATAAAAAAATCATACAAAACTTAACAATATCTGTGCATACAAATAATTTATTGGCGTTATACTTACACCCCATTTTAAAAGCTTGGAGTAATAATACTCTCCGGCTAAAATGTTTAAATCTGTCACTGCAATAGTCTCTTATGATACCCACACCATATTTATAATTTATATGATAGTATGGTAATTCAAGTTAATAGTTCTGGTTTTAAAGACAAGGTAATTCTTGTTATATTTATAAATACATTCACATCTCAAATGCATAAACAACTTTACAGTTATACAATAATTTTAACCTTATAATGAATCTTAAAAATAACGTACATTTTATGAATTCAAAAAACATATAAATAATATCGTTTGTGTAAGTGTTAGTTGAACTGTTTTAATGTAGCTCAACAAAGTTTATAATTTTCCACTGGATTTTCTTCCTTATAGGTTTGAAGATAAATTCATAATATTATGCCGTTCCTTTAAATGTACCTATAAAAGTTTTAAACAGAAAATGTAACTGTAATATCTAAAATCTGATCCACATAGTCAACTCACTAAAATAATTAAATAATTACATTATTACAATGTCAAAAAACCAGTATTATAGATAAGTTCCTCTGAACGACTTTGTCATACCACTCAAAATAATTATTAATGTAGATTAACATCATTAGTGTTATGGTTTTAAAGAGAGTATAATAACAATTATTATCTTATTTCTATATACGGCTTATTTTATTTTTAGTACCTAAATCCAATTAAAAAATAAACAATAGGTACTAAAAATGTTTTTAGCAGATCAAACTTCATTTTAAACTGTTTGAACAAATGCTTTCAACATTTATACTCCGAAT